TTTTTTCTGATGCATATACATGTACATGAACTTGTACTTATGTTGTATAAAAAGTTTAAGAGGATTCCAAGCTTTTTTTTACAAATTTTTAAAGTTGCTCCAAAATCAGGTGAAAGACCCGGTACTATAGTACAGTGTGTTTGGCCAAATTTCGTCAAAAATGTCAAGGAGAGATTTCTCAAATTTTATAATTTTTTCTAATGCATATACATGTACTTATGCTGTGTAGAAAGTTTGAGAGGCTTCCAATCAAAGTTGGATTTTTTTACAAATTTTTAAAGCAGCTCCAAAATCAGGTGAAAGACCCTGTACTATATAGTACAGTGCCTTTGGTCAAATTTGGTCAAAAACGTCAAGAAAAAATTTCTAAACTTTTATAATTTTTCCTGATACATATACATGTACTTATGCTGTGTAGAAAGTTTGAGCTGATTTCAATCAAAATTTGACTTTTTATAAATTTTAAAAGTTAAAATTGCACAATGTACAACACAATGCTGTAACTGTAGCGCTTATTAGCTTATAGAATGCTGTTTAGCTTAATTAGTGTGCTTTCTTTGCTTTGTGGGAAACCTTGACATATACATGTACATGTACATTATGCATATACATTTTATCTAAAACTAATCCATATACTCACCCTCCCATCTTGGATCATTATGACGTGGAACAACTGAGTAGTGGGTGGTGATTTGTGGATGAGTCACTCCTCCGGCTCTTAGCCCATGACTAGAGTGTATTAGTCGAGACACTCGCAGAGCTACAGTACTACCTAATGAGCAATATTATAAAGCTAGACTACTGTATAGCACAATATTTTTGAGGCTATAAATTTTGTGAATTTTCTGATACTTGATTCAAAGATTCACGAAAATTAAATTCACAAAATACATGTAGATTTTGGGAAATTTCCAAAATTTATGTACAGAAAAATACATGCGCCTCAAAAAATTTGCACTGTATAATGTCGATACATGTATGTAAATTATAGAGATGTGTATATAAAATTGTATAAAAAGGGAAATCATCTTTTTGTTATACCAGTAGATTGTAAAGGCTCAAAAATCAACCCAATTGTCAAGAGAAAGGTCACACCTAAATATGCTAATGTTAACCTTTCTAATTAAAATGACTGTATGTGACAAACTTGGGGGGATTTGTCATGAAACTCTGATGGTAAAATCTCATATATACATATACATACTTTTACCATCACATATATAATTACCATTAATATTCTTACTAAATATTAGATATATTCAATATTATTATTTTACTATAATGCATACTGAAATAATTACTTTTCTTAACATACCCTGCTTGAGGATCCTGAGCATCATAATAATTACTTAAAAACTGAGAAATAAGAATCTTCAGCAAACAGAGATAATATTGTGTAATTCTACAAACCACACCCAGCCACGCCCATTAAAATGGCTGTCTGATTGGGATTGATAATAAAATGGTTTGGAGTCGCATCGCAGATTACTCTCAGAGGACAGTGTCCATCCTTCTCTTTGGTCTAACTATATACGGATTATCAATAATGGCCAGGGGAGGTCATGGAGTATTGAAAAGAAGAAAAGAAAGACAATTGAACACCGAGCTCGACGCCAAGCAACAACAAGAAAGTGATGGAGGTAGCGAAAACTCTTAGTAGAAAATGTAGTGTAATTATCTCTAGTTATCTCTAGATTGTGATAACTATTATTTATTATGGTCAATTTATTTTGGAAATACAAACCTTAGCATGCAAGCTAGCAAAGATACATGCCACGCCCAAAATAGCTCTCCGCGGCCAACGCCCTTCTCCTGAGTTCGGAATGTCTGAGCAGCAGAGGAAGAGAGCAGCAAGGAAAGCCATTACAGGGAATGTTGTCGCTTTAAACCAGGTTCTCTCATTAAGCGAGGCTGATTTCCTTGCTGTAGTTAATGCCTGTGTAGAACGTGAAATAGTTAACGATGGGCAGCAGAGAGCCTTTCTTGATACATTGTGTGGGAAAACATTACAGGCTAGAGTTCAAGATTTTCTCACACAGATCACTTCAGTGGTTGGGATGTTACCAGATTATCTGGACGACTTTGTACTCATACTGTTTAATGCTGACACTCTGCTTACTCAGAGTGCAGCCAAGGAAGTAGCGAAAAAATGTAAGATTTGGTTTTGGGCTCAATACAATATTCATAAGTCCATGCAATTTTTTGTGTAAAAGAAATTATTAGTAATGAGTAGTTTTGCCACAGTCGATATTATTCCAGCAAGAATAGTCACATCATGGTCACATGCAGTAATGAATATTTTACTGTGTATTTTTTATAGATGGATACAACTTGCCCAAATATGAATCTGCTAGTGGTTCAGTTGCTGACTCTGTTGGTCCAGCTCCCAAATTGCTTAAGTATGAGCCTGCTGGTGGCTCAGCTCCTGCTGTTGTTTCTGACTCAGCAGTTGGTCCATCTCCCATTGATACTACTAATGCAGGAAGTGGTAAGATATACTATAAAGATTTAATTTGTGATAATTGATACTCACTCATGTATTGTGTTTATGTATTGCCTTGCTGTGTTTATTTTAGGTTGTAAATTTTGTATAATGTTAATTTATGATTTTCCATACCTAAATTGTACCAAAATGGTTGATGATTATCATTGTAATATTTGGTTTCATGCTAATTATTGTTGCCAAAACTAATTGCCTTTTGTTAGTACAGTACTGGTAGTACATGTATGGTTTTGATGGCTTTAGTGAATATTTGATTTTTTGTTTGTAGCTCAATCTTCATCCTCTCAACTCTCAGAACAAGGAAAAGACTCAGAGGAAGTAAGATTATACAAAAATGTATGCTTATAATTATATCAAATTAGGTAACATCTGATGCATGGGGTTTCGGATCAAAAAAAGAGAAAAAGAACGATGAAGAAAAAGCTGCAGATGATATTGTGTACAAGTATAAAGTCAACGAGACAGGAGAACGTGGAGTTGTGCTGATTATAAATAATGTCTACTTTAAAGAGAAAGATAAAGCTGATCGTACATCATCAAACGAAGATGCTAAAAGATTAGAGGAATTATTTAAGGGTCTTCGCTATCAAGTGATAGTTCAAGAAGATTTGGAAGCTGCTGAAATAAGGAAAAAAGTTAGTGCAATTGCTGCTGGAGTAGTAACCAAGAAACACGATAGTTTCATATGTTGCATTCTGTCTCATGGCAATCCAAAGGGGATTGAAGGAGTTGATGGTGAAACTGTTACTGTGCCTGAATTGGCTAATATTGTAAATTCTAAGGAATGTTCAGCACTTCATGGAAAACCCAAAATATTTTTCTTTCAAGCTTGTCGAGGGACTGAAGTACCAGAGCCTTCAACTGCTGATTCATCTGTGCCATGGCCTCCAAAAGAAGAAGAGATGGTTGCTGATGGTATTGCTCGAGCATTACCACCAGAGGCTGACTTCTTGTTTGGTTTTAGCACTTCTGATGGTAACGTTGCTGCAAGAGGTGTCTACACTGGTTCACAATATATAAAAGCATTGTGTGAATTTATTTCCAAGCACTCTTCTAAGCTTAGTCTTTACGAGCTCTTACTTCTCGTTAATTACAAAGTATCCGAGAATCCAATTGATTATAAAATGTCATACAAGTATCATCAAATGCCCGAGATCAGAAGCACTTTGAGGGGGAAATTTTACTTTAAAAAATAACTTGGAGTTTTTATTTTTAGTTATTTTTGCAATCAAAAAATTTAAGTGTGCAATTTATACTTTTATAATGCTACTCTTATATATAGACAGTTTTGTATCAGTGATTTTTATCTTTTTTTATTGCTACAAAACGATAGCATCTTCACTGCTCGACCTTGCATGCATCATAGCTCTCAAGTGGGCCTAACCCCTGCCTGACTAGATCTGCTACAATATAGAGGACTTTGTTACAATAGGAAACAATCACTGAAATACAAGCATGCATATGAATTAGAGATAGCTTAAAAATTACCATCTATCTGATAATTTTTACTATGATTTTAATTTTACTTCATTAGAATTTCGCAAAAAAAAAATTAGATTACCCATATAGATCTAATTACATGCGTGCCACATTTAATATTACATGACACAGTCTTATTATTTTAGTAAACATTAAATCACAGCACAATTTTAAAACCCCAAAATTTTCTACCACACTAATTTCCTGATCTACAGTAATTATGAATTATCCAATACCAATCACAACTTTTGAATTGTGGGATACTGTGAGACTATTTTTATAGGCTTGCCCACAATTCAAGTCAAGGCCTTGGTTTAATTAATAATAGCTAGATATATCTCTATAGCTAGTCACCGCCTCTTACCCAGCCTAACTTGAGTTGTGTTGTAGACCGAGTTTCCTCTCAAGTATCCTCAATGGCCTCTAAACTGGCCTCTCGTGACCATGCAAATCCTCTGCAAAGTACAGTCTATTTATTTTTTTCTATAGAACTATATGAAACTGGTTAGTTAATGACCTGGTCGACCTTCTTTTATTACTCAAAAGACATGGCTATTCAGGAGTCACTTATTATGATCTTGGTCTTTTTCTTGGTCTATTACCTGGTACACTGGATGTTATTAAAGAGAATGATGGAAAAGATGTTTTAGCATGTCTGCGTGAATGTCTTAAAGCATGGCTACAAAAAAAGGATGACGTTGTTGTGAGGGGTGGTCCAACCATTTTATTCACTGGTATCAGCTTTGAAAGAAATACAACATAATGTAGTAGCTGATGGAATAGATACAGAGGGTTAGTTTAAATAATATAATCAGATAGGATATAATACTAATTTTATTTTAGTGCATCCTGCTTGTAAAATTCTTGCTCGTTATATGACTTCGGAGCAGTCAATTATTGTGTCTGCATTACCCCAGTTGGCTTTATTGCTGCATTCAGAGAAGCTAATAAAGGAGATGATGCTGCTGCCAATCAATGAACATGGGGAAACTCTGTTGACTGATATAAAGGTAGCTGTTTGTATCGATTATTGCAAACTTGAAGCATTTGCTGAGATTTTGTGTAAAGTAACAGCCACTGTTGGAATAGGGAAGGCCATTAAGAAAGAATACAGTAAGTAGACTTACTTATCTACTAGGAAACTGATGATTCTTTATAGAAAAAATTTTTTACAGTAATGATTCTTTAATGACTAATGGCACAGTCAGCACTGGTAAACTTTAAAATAGTCATTTATTTATAGGTTTAATTTATATATTACTAATAGCTGAAGAGTTGAAGATTTACTTTCCTCAAAGTATGATTGCAGAATTCAAGACAATGAGATTGAAGTTTGGTAAAACATTTTCCAGTGTGAAGGATATCATGAAGGCAAATCCTCCAGCACTTGAGAAGATGAGAGATATATTAATTTTTTCTTATCGGGCCTTGAAACCTCAGTTAGCCAAGTGTGAAGATATTCATAGCATATTAGAATTAATTAGTGAAAATTGTTTGCTGAATGATATTAGTATGCTAAAGTTCTTTGTTGATGAGTCCGAAATAAATGGGCTGGCTAAAATAGTTGTTCAAGAATATAATGAAGCTCTTAAGAAATTTAGTGAGACTAAGCTCAGTCAATATTTAGAAGGAAAAATTTCGTATGCTTCACCACTTCAATGTGAAAAGATTACCATTGTCATTGATGTGGATGAAAATGCTGAAGAATTGATGCTGAAAGATGTCAAGAGATTATCAGCGGATATATTTCATGATTTATCACCAAATGTCCGGTTAAATGTCATTAGAGATGGCAATTCTTTTGCTGTCACTTGTTCCTTCCCTTTGATTCTATCTGATCATTTAATTGCAGCTGCTCTTAATAATATCAACATAATTAAAAGAAAACCGAGTGAAGAAAATGATCATTGGCTATTATACTGTGTATGAGGTAAATAGACTATGGATGTATTTGAATTTATATTTTGGTTATAACAGGTAAATGATACCTCCACTCCTACAACAAAACAGCAGTATGCCTCATTATCAGCTAGGCCTAGTAGTGATTTATCAAAGCAACTGATGCTATCATTGAAGATACAACTGATTAACAGTGAAGAAGAGGTGGCTACTTTAAATGAGGTTACTTAAAAGCCCTAATTGTTACTATTAAGTAGATTTTGTTGTACATCATGTACAACAGCATAACTTCACTCTTTTATAGGAAAGTAAAGCAATGAAAGAAAATGTGGCATCATTGAAGGAAACACTGGAAGCTAAAAGCAAGATGCTGAGTGCCAACATAGCAGAGAGTAATAAGTTTAAAGAACTAGCAGGTATCTTATGTTCTTTTAACAGTCAATTAAAAATATTGTTAGCTGAGACTCAGATGCTACAGAAGAAAGTATCACATTTAACAGAAGTTAGTGAGAAATGAATTTTGCTGTTCATATTTAATGTCAGGAGAATGAGGGTCTGAAAGAAAAAAAGAAAATATTAGAAGAGCAACTTGCTTCATTTCAGTCTAAAAAAGGAGGTACATAATTATCATACAAAATATCTTATTATTTAATTAGATATTGAGGATAAAGAGGAAAGAAAAATTGAAAAGTTACAGTCAACCGATACAAGTTAATAAAAAGTATGATAATTCTCATTATATTATTTATAGCATTTGAAATTGAGACTTTAAGAAAAATATTAAAACAAAAGGATGAGGAAATTAAGCAGGAGCGAGGTCAGTATAACTAAACCAATGAAAATTAATTTTTAAAATCATTAGCGGCTTGGAGTAAAGAAAAAAAACTATTACTAGAGAAAATAACTACAATGAATTTACAACTAATTGAGAAAAATAAACTAGTGCAAGGTAACTATGTTTAAAAATTTTAATTAGGCATAAAATTTTCTGGCAGAAAAAGAACAAGTTTTAAGACTAACAAGTGAAAATTTGGAGAAAGGTGTGTGTTTTACTTGAAAAGATATCCATTGTATATAAATTTTATTATTGTTGCTAAACATGTATAATATTTGATGCAAGAGCATATGTGATGAATCTTAAGTGTTACAGAGGTGCTTCATTATAGGTGAACGTAGACACTTAGATGATGTGTCTGCTAAAGGATCAACTAGTGACTCTGCTCATTTTCCTATCACCAAAAATGAAAACGATTCACATGACTCATGTAAGTAAGGGTAAGGTTTGTGGTATTTTGGGCGATTTTGATATATTGCTAATTTAATTGGCTTAAATTTTATATGTATGCATTTGTTGTACAATTCATATTTGATTGTAAAATATAAGATGGTCTTTCAACTGCATGTATTACAAGTTTTACATGTGTTTATTGTTGTTTATTAATTATGTTTGCTTTATACATGTAGCTGAATCTCAAAATTCAGAACAAGAAAAAAAAGAAGTAAGATAATAATACAAAA